CGAGAAGTGTATGCAAGTCTTTGAAAACTTATGAGAATAAGAAAGTCGTCGTCCTTTTTGCGATCTAGGTCTCCAGCGAAGACCCAAGAAAGATTGGGGGTCTCCAATAAGCAAGCACTTTTTGTTCCTCATAATTTTGCTTTCCTTTCATAAAATACTTCCAATGCGTTTTCGCTCGAGCAATATTAGAGCAATAACCAGTTGAAGCAATAACCTAGTAAAGAACAGAGCGCTCCAAACATAAAGCGCTGCAATAATTGTCCTTTTGTGCGCATTTCTAAGAATAAGGAGGCTTCGGATTTTTTCAGATTTGCAACGGTGTAATCGTTCAGGTCAGGTCTGTACGAAGACCTTGCCTGGGCTTGCTTCGAACTGTGATGAGAGTATTTGCCAAAGTATTCACCGCACAACTCAACGAATAATATTCAACATGAGTTTTTATCGCAGTGCTGTTTTTTAGCACCTAATTCAAAATTTGACATTTTTTAGCTGTTTCTCCCTATGTTATAATATCATATTTTACTGTTACTTGCATAATTTATATCATTAATATTGTTATGTACAGCAATAGTAATAGAGAGTGATAATAAAATAGATGCCTTTATATATTATTGTCATGTTTCAACACCATGACATACATAAAACATTGTTATAAGTTTACAGAGTTATTTCTTTCATTCATTCTTTAGAATTATAAACTCAATCAACAACATATCCACTATATCAAGTAGGTAATGAGCAATTTCATCACTCAGAAAATATTGTCTGAACTTCATTGCATTGTATTAGCATGTTTCAGTAATGTTCAAACAGTGATATCGATGAACTTAACTTAAATATTATATTAACATATAAAGTTCCACATCTTTCCTGCAATATACCATTTCGTGACAAAAACGGTTTGAGCACGCCATTTTGAAACGAATAAATTGCTAATTCTGAGCACCTTACTGAGCAATATATCAACTAATCATAAACAGTTTCCCCAAACTCTTCGCGAGGCGATTGAATTCTCTCGAATTTGGTGCTTTCCAAACATTAAATTCATCTAAATTAGAGGTTCGTAGTTGAACACCAAGGTAACGGCTTTGTCATTGGTAACTCCAGTGCTAAATTGGTAACGGAAACTTTTGCATATGGGAACATAATCTATACTGAATTTTTTAGAATGAGAATCTGAATTCTAATCATTTTTAACTACCAACTGAACGAGCAAAAATCGTTCCTTTCAATCAACTCATCTTCAAAAGGTCCCATGTTTTTTATGTAACTTGCCCATTGCAAGGCTTGCAAAAAATGATGCTGTGTTTCTCTGCTCATAAGACTGTTCGCTGTTCCGCCTTCGACCTTCTCGCGTGCATCTTTATAGAGTCTATCGCTTATGTCTTCCATCTCAATTCTTCTGTTTCGATCGATCGCCTCCAAAGATTCAGATGCACATGAGCTAAGTGCACCGGTTGCGATGTTATGAGTCCAACACTACGGTATACACAAAACCTATCGTCAGTGTGCCTTAGTATGTCTTTCATTTGTTCCATTCAAAGTAAAACCTTAGCTAATATTATCCACTACATCAAAAGCGATGAGCGACTTTATTATCCAGTTATAAGCTTCCCAAATTTGCCCGCCAGTCGATCAAAAATTGGTTGAATCCGTTGCTTTGCAAATGGATTGAAGTGATTTTCATCGTCCAGAAAGAACTGATTGGCGTCGGGGTCGTATCCGAGGTAGCGACCTGTGTTGTCAACTAATGCTGGCATATAATCCACAAGCTCACAATTCTTACATCTGGAAAAAAATTATTGCACAACGACAAATCTAGGAGTTTTGAGTTTACCGTTTCCCAACTTCTTCAATTCGTAATCGCGCAAAAAACTCGTCCCTGTAGATGAGTTCATCCTAAAATAGGCAATTTTCATCTCCGCGGATTAAGTTCAAATGATGAGAGTGGAATTTACATTGAAATCCTTTAGTGGTTTGTTCTTCTTCAGGTACTCGAAAGCCCTCTCAGCACACCCTGTTTTGCATGCTGGCAATGCTTGCAATAAATATATCTGAGAAACATATTAGTCAAAAGGAATAATCAAAAGGAAAAATTTGTTCCTTTTTAGCAAGCTTCTCCAATCCTTTGATATAGTTGATAAAGTCTTTGACTAATGCGTCTTCATGGATGGCGTACCCAATGGTGTTGAATCGTCTTTTTGCAACAAATGCTCTCAAAATTTTACTTTCCATCCCAAATAAACCTATCACTTTGCATAATGATGAAACTCAATTGCTTACCTATTTAATACAAAAACTATATCTGGCTTTAGTTCTTTTGATACCATAGAGAAGTCGAAACTTTTGATCTGACAATAAGAATTAGATTTTGTCATAACCTCGCAGCCTGTAATTGCACTTCAACATCAGAAGGTCTGGCTGCAAGATTGAATATTTTCACGATTCACCTGCCAAGCAAAACACGCTAAATTGTCTTGTGTAATTTCTGAAGGCGTTAAACACTAATTCTCCTTGATTGCATGCAAAGCTGTTTCCTATTACTAGTATGTCATAAGAACCAAAACCATCCTGCAAAAGGTGAATAAGATACGACGCGCAGCACCTTTACATAGTGGTTGAAAGAATGAGATGATTGTGAGATTAGAGCGGCTCGCTTTTCGTGAATGTATGATCACTTTACTCCTTCTTAAGGAGTGAATCAGATATGTTTCAGTACTAGATATACAGCAGTAAATTTTTTGACTACTTAATATGAAGAATTTCAACACACAACAAATTGATGTTAGCGGGAATTGTACGTGTAAGTCTTCCCTCCTTTGCCAGAGTAAAAATGCACAAGAGCACAAAACCGTACTTCCTGCTTTTGCGTTCACTCTGAGCCCAATTCCTCTACGGAGGAGTGTCGTTACCCTCATCAGTGTTTCGTTGTCTTCACTACTACTACGATCCAGTCGTCAGGGATGAAAGAAGATCTACGATTTTTTATGATCCAGCTTCTGCAGACTGCAATTGAGCGATTCCGAGTGTTTCATTTTCTTACAAAATAAATAAAGCTCTCGTCCTTTGGAGCTGGCGAAGACAAGCTGCCGAGGTTTCGATATGTCTCGAGACAGTTTTCTGAACCTCCTGAGGGTTAGTACGTCAGAACAGGCCTCGGCACGAGGTCTCCGATTGGACTCCTCGAAATGAATGACCCTTTGAAAATCACGAATTTTACGACATCTCCTTTGAGCATGAAGAAGTCAGAAGTAAAAATTTAGAATTACAAAAATTTTCATTACCTCTCAAAAGTCTGAAAACTTGCTTTGCTGTTAAGAAAACTGCAAATTTATAAACTGAAAATTGGTGAATATATTTGATAATTGAAATAACGTTTTTTCCCCTAAAAGTTAAGCGATTACGTT